GCGGGGAACTCTGCAAAAAACGCATCTTCGCACGGGCAGCCCGTGCGTTGGCCAATTTTTTTTTTAGGCAGAATAATGGATAGGCTTGGTGACAGTGTATCTTCTGGAAGTGCTTGGAAGGGAATCTCAAATTTTCAAGACTGGTCGGGGCCCACTTCCTCCATAAGATAAGAATTTGCGACAAAAATCGAGGGCTTGCTTCCGATTTGCATACCGCCTTCTGTTATCCTTAGCGCCGTTGCACAAATAGAAAACTGGCGTGAATTATCTTTGAAATTTGGATTACGTGGGTTTGATGTACTCATTCACTTATTTTGCTTGGATGCCATTTTACAGGGTATATGATGCAATCACTCCAACAATCAGCCTGAGCGGCCCAACAAATTTCGCTCCACTGATTTATCAGGCCATCGAGATTTGCGAACGAGTCCAGGATGTATGCTTTCTCTTTCACTTATTTAATAAGTGTCATTTATTAAGCCCGATTGTTCGGTCAGTTTTAATCCTTGAAATAAATGAGCCACTAATACAATGCATTTCCAAAAGAAACGGGAGCCGAAACTTCACTCAATGACAAAAAACATACAAACTCGTCAGATGCCGTTGCGCTGCTTCTTCGTTTCTTTTTCACCTTAGCTGCCCCTCAAAAATAAAAATTTCGAATTATATCGCCGGATGGAGAAACACAGTACACTATCTTCAAAAAAAAAAAAGAAAAAAAAAAACACCTACACAAATTTAGCTCCAGTTTACAGTAGGTTAAAGTGCAAAACACACTGCTCCTACGAATACGAAACGGCAAGAAGAGAGGGTTCATTTTGATACAAAAACACTGTTTCCAGTATCATATATTGGTAATCGTAGCCGACGGGCAAGTGACGAACGAAAAAGCAACACGCAAGGCAATTGTACAAGCTTGTCAGCATCCACTTTCCATCATTGTTGTTGGTGTTGGCGACGGTCCCTGGGACATGATGAGGGTTTGTTTGCTTTTCCACTTCTCGTTTTTATACTCTCTCCAACATATTTACGCGTCCTTGTGCAATTCAAGGACATATTGTAACGAGGTCAGCAGTACCTGCACACACGTCAACTAGGAGTAATTAGTTAATAGTTAAGGCCGAACAAGTGTAGTGGAAAAAGAAATTAGTTTAAAAGTATAATGCCGGGAAGTAAGTCGAAACGTAGGCCAATGAGAACCTAGGAATTGAAAGGTCGAAACCATGAAATAGAAAAATAGGTGCCGTGGTTTTTGTAATGAAAGGAAAAGAGAGATAGTAGGGTTGGAAATGTAGTTAACACACAGCCATGTAAGAAAGTTATGTATGGAGAATATGTGAAAATCGGTCTGCCTGTGTTTCATCCCTTGGCTTTAAACACAGATAGTGAGTGCTGTGGTTAAGGGTGGAATTCATCAGTACAGCTTCCTAACCACCATGTAAAATGTAAAATACAAGATGCTTAGAGGATAAGAACAGCAAAAGAAAGGCAGGAAAATTCAAACTAAATCTTAGAAAAGGTTAGTGACATAGGCAATGTAATTATAGTGTCGTATTCAATCAAGCAACTTAGCGCAAACTCGCTGCACGCCATAATCGTCACAGCACAAGTATTTATTAAGTATAATCCTATTTCTGTAGAAAAACCTGTAGACAGTGTTCCTTAATCTGGTAGTACCATAGCCTTTTTTTAAATAAACGGTAAGTAGCCGTTTAGACTACCAAATAAACCGATCGAAGGAGGAACAAATTCGAGAGTATCGTAAAAGTTGAGAAAAATGAATACCATCATGAAGAGACAAATCAGCATCACTGTCTGTTTGAGTGTATTGGTGGACAATAAGGAGGAAGCCGAGGGTTTTATTGTAAACGTCAAAAATGCGCCTGTTATCATGGCATGAAATATCCAGAAGGAAACACTGTCCAAGTGTCTACTGCATTGCCTTGAACTCAAGATCATTTTCTGATGTTTGCTTTGCCCCCAAGCTGGCCCATACAAAGGCTGAATTAGCACGAAAGATATGAATCGAAAATCAATTAGCCTCAGTTCGTGACAACAAGACCTGCATGCAGAAATCCACGTCCGGACTGGTTCGATAATCCCAAGATGAGACGGCCGCAAGCTAGGGCTTTCAATTGGTTTTTGCAAGCCAGAAATTACTTTTCTGGCCTTTGTCCTCAGGCAGAAGTTCAGTATGGCATTTCTGCCGCTCCTGTGCTTTACCTGTCTTAAAATAGATTATTTGAAAAACGGTCCCTCCTGTACAGCACCGCCTATCTTCGAAATCGGCAGATCCAGTGACAGAATACTGCCATCCGTAATAAAAAGTGGAAGAAAATTCCCCATTTTAACAAACAGTATAATATTGCCTTCGATAATAAAAAGTGGAAGAAAATTCCGCATTTTAACAAACATTAGTGAGATCCACTTAGCCCCATTAGCTCTACAGCCTCTTTATTCTTCTATTCCGCAAAGTTAAGGATCGTGCGGACGAATCCAGTGCTGCCTCACAAGAAACTTGTTGCTTTATACTCACTTTGCCTTCAGATAGAAACTGCTGTTTTCTGTCAGAATTCATAAGAACCTAAGTGCAGTGAATTGTTTTGCAGGTATTTGATGAATCATTGCCGAAAAGACCCTGGGACAATTTCCATTTTGTGGAGTTCCATGAGCTGCTGCGAAAGGCCGACAGTACTGATGCAGGAGAATTGTCGTTTGCAGTACAATCGCTGCTGGAGGTGCCCGATCAGTACAACGTTATTCGTCAGTTGGGATTACTTCGTTCCGCACCGCCCATATCGAATCCGTAGTGCCTCGTTTTCTGTGATCTTCCGGGCGATCAGCTTGTAGTGTACTTAAATTCGGGTGTGTGCAGAGTGCCAGTTTTGTGTGCATTACTGTCTCCTGAGTTTCTGTTCTGGTTTGCGTTTTAATGTAAAAACATTGTGTGTCGAAGTCAGTGCTGTAAATTTCAATGGCATTCATGAAGCGTGCGGCGGATTCTAAGCTGTCAAATTTCACTTCAGAATTCTCCTCACCGAAGCTACGCTTTTTTAAGGATAAAATATAACAGCTGTTACAAGAGAATGCTTTTTTTAGTTCATTTTATTTTAACCTGTTATGAAAATGAGTGAAATGAAATTAAGGTGGTAGGAAGCGAGGCGGCTAATGTAAGAACAGCGAGTTAAACGAGTTAAATTGAACTCTTTAAGAAGAAATAAATCAATAGGCGAAGTCTTACGGCTCAAAAAAACCTGCATTATGCGTCAAACAAGCAAAACCAGATAGGATGCCTGGAGCGAAATATTGCTGGACGATGAGAAATGTGTGGGAGAGTTATCGAAAAAATTTTTGGATCTGCGGGATAATAAGGAAGATAATGCTTTCTTAGCCAAATACATAAAAGGCACAATGTTGCTGTTTTTTTACAATGAATCTTTGAATGCTGCGCAGAAATCATCTCCGGAACGATGCTAAAATACACCAGTGCAAGAGAGGAAAGACGTTTTTATACACCGCACAAAGCGAAACGCTGTTTGAGACCAAGTGAACACATATTAGAAAGTTGAAGGAGCAGCAGCAGCAGAACAGATATCTTCGGCTACACAAAATGCAAATGAACAATTAGCAGACAATGCATTAAAATTACGATGAGAATTTGACGGATAACGTACCCGTTTGCAACCCGTTGTGTACGTCAATTTCGTATTTGCGGATGAAAGACGCAAAGGTAAGAAGACCGGGAATTACGCAAACCTAGATAGAATAATATGCGAAGTCAATTAACATTTAACTCCTAACTGGTATGAGGAAATCGCTGTAAACTTTTACTTAATATTAACAGCAGCAACGAGGAATAAGAAACCTTGGCGGCCATTGAGTGAATGTATTTCATCACTGCAAGAGTGTGGGATACCTCCCACTGATGCAGAGTAAACCAGAAGAAATATGAGGAAGAGATAAACAATTACATAAATCATTTCGCCGGCAAAAAACCAATCTAGAAATTTAAAAAATTTTCAAACTGTGCGTTCATCAGACCTCACGAAATCAAGCCAAGCACAAAAGCACTGAGAGGAAAGAAGAGAACTTATCGAAGCGATGGGTCAATCTTTCGGCTGATATCCTGCATTACATCATCCACAGTCCAATCCATTGGATTATTGAATTCGTCGCAAAACTCATCACGCATTTCCTGCAGTCGAAGTCTGCAATGAAGATTTTGTACAATTTGGTGAAAAAGTGTAAGCACACACATGCACACCTGCGATAGGCAGCTGCCAAGCAACCTTACAGAACTATCACGAAATAACAACACAAACAGTTGGGACAGTCACGACAACCCCACTGTGGACAATAAAAGGTTTAGAGACGCTCAAGGCTACACAATCCGTCACACTTATAAGGCAAGAAAAAATGAATTACAATGTCACGATGTCGGCATGTTTGCCTTCAACAGCCAAATCCAGCGGCGTCTCACCGGACCGATTTCGCAGATGCTGATTGGCACCACGTTTTATTAACTGACATACAATCCTATAAAACAGGAACACTTTTTAAAATGACCCAAGCGTGCAGCAGGAAGAAATCTTTTGTTGACCACTGCATAGAAACTCACAAAGTGCACGCCTTTGAAGCGGCAATATGAAGAGCGCTGTTCAAAGACGAGTCCAATGCATTCAGTTTGGCGCCATTCAACAAAAGGAATTCCGTCGCAACGCTCTGGTCCTAGAAGAACATTTTATGCAAAGAGAACACAAACAGTTCTTACAGTGGTGCATTCCTACGGAGAGTGCCGCTCTATTTTCCAGTTGCTGCAAACGAAAATGGTGGAAAACGGAATGAAAGAATATAGTTTTCCACATCTTTTTTTTTTGTTTCATATATGGGAACAGCAGCAAAATAAGTTGGGAAGTGCTTCTGTGTCTTACGTGTTCAATGGCAATGTGAAGTACTGTTGTGCCGTTTAGCGAGGCATTCACATCGAAGCCTTCAGCAATAAGTCGACATAACCCGATAGTATCACCTGTTGCTGCAGCGAAAATTGCGCGATCATCGTGATTAACATCACTCACTGCAAGTACTGGAAGCTTACAAGGAAGGCTCCACATATATATGGATCGAAAATAATTAGAACTTACACGTATTCAGAGTTGCTGTATCAATATTCGTATCTGATCCGCATGCAGAAATTCTTTTCTTAGCACCTAAAATGACTTCTCAAATTCCAATGTATTTAGCAAGTTTTGCAAAATTCTTCATTTTTTTACTTCTAAGAGTTCCCAGAGAAACACAATAAACATTGCGGTATTAATATTACTAACTACTGTAATCTCAGTAGTACCGTAGAAGTACTTTTTACATAATTAGAAGGCTAAATGACGCATGACATATGTCAGCGAAGTGCTGCACAAGCCCAGTGAAGTGGCTGCAGTTTGACATGAACAAAGCTATCAGGCAATGCAGTCAGCGAAAAGAACTAAGCTGGTCCTGTAGTAAAATGAAAGGCAAAAAAGCAAAAAAGTTACTGGCGCTCGTTCAAGGGTGCGTCAGCAACAACAGCGAGGAGAAAAAAAGTAAAACAAAAGCAGACTGAAGTGTAAGATGCTGAATGTAGCTTTCTATATAAGGTACAAAATTCGTGAATGGCAAAGCTGCTGCAGTGATAAAATATGTGACAGGCTCAAGTTGACGATTAAAATCCTTCACTGATAGAACCAATCCCTCTTGTATTCTCAGTAAATTGATACAACAGCATGCCAAGAAACCAGAACTGCCTTCAGACTGTTTCTCAGTTAAACTCAAAAAACAAAGCCATCCAAAGCCTTCGGTCGCTGCTGACAAATTTTTATCACTTAACCTAATACGCCTTTTTATGCGTTTTTTGCAGCAATGCAATGCGAAAAACGCATATTGACGAGAGGTTGTCT